ATATTTTTTCGAATTTTGACCTGAAACTTTGCCCACACGAAGACGTCAACTAAACTAGCTTCCATAAAAAACTTCAGAACTTTTAAACAAAGTCTCTCCGAGATATAAATTTTTCACGATATGGGCGCTTTTCCATAGACAATGTATAAAACATGCATCTTTTGGAAAATTCATATCTCAGAGAGACTTTGTTCAAAAGTTCTGAAATTTTTTATGAAAGCTAGTTTAGTTGAGGTCTTCGTGTGGGCAAAGTTTCAGGTTAAAATTCGAAAAAATATATTTGCTGGAAAACTGGGGTCCTGCAGGAAAAATTCACTAAAAATTCAATAGCTCAGTCCCAGAGGTCCATGCACCCAAAACGAGATAGACTTTTTCACTGCTCACTAGGACTTATCGAATGGCAATGGTCCTGAGAGAAAAGCGATTTAACACCTGGAGAGGTTCCCTCGTAAGCCAGAATATCATTTTTTGGAACTCGAGATTTTTTTTATTTCGGTGTGAAATGACTTCTATATCAGATTCAGTGTATCTAATGATTTTCGTTTTAAATTTTTCTGACCAAAAAGTAAGACAATGGTGGAACTTTTTGATATTCGATTGGTGTTGAACAAACTTTAAGATTACATGACGAGAACAATCATACTTCAGTATACGAAAAAAAGCATTTTCACTTTTCTATGCATTCAGTATTCTTCATGTGATTTCTCCCCTTAACTTTCTACAAAAATAAGTTTGATAAAATTTTCGTAGAGAATTCGACTTTGAATATTCTGGAAAAACAATTAGATGTAAGAGTTGAACAGAAATACTGAGCGGTTCAGTATTTATAAGCCATTCGATACATACTTTAAACTTGATATTCCACTTGGAATATTTGTTAAACAATTATATGATACATCCAAATGACGAAGATTAATTAAACCAAATAAACTATTTAACAAAAAAACAAGTCATTTCTAATTGATTTATTAGTGAATTACAATTGTATACCTATCAGGTAGTGAACCATACAATTCACAAAATGACATATCAAGAAAAACAAGTGTTTTGAGATTATTCATTCCTAATGATATTGATGAGATTGGATTATGACGTAAATAAAGATGCTCAAGTTTCGTACATTCGAATAATTCTTTTGGTACAGTCTTTGAAAACAAAACAAAAAAAGAATATCAAAGATTTTGTTTTGTTTTCTATTTTTAAACTTTGCTTTATCAAAAAAAAAAAAAAATTTTTTTAATTCCAATTAATTACTAAATTAATAAATAAAGAAAAAGAAAATCTTACACGTAAACAATTATACGATAGATCAACGGCAAGTAATGTCGTAAACATAAGTGAAATATCCGGTAAATATTCAAGTGTAAGAGCTCGTAAATCTAAATGAGTTCCATTTTTTATTAAACTATCAAGAACAGCAATTTCAGCGCCTGTATCACGTTTGACATTAAGTGAATCTATAATATAAAAAATAAATAACAAACAAATTTTTATTTATATTCATATTAATACTATTTTCTTTTGATAAATTTTTTTCATCATTTTGTGATTCTTCTCTATTTTCGATTTCATAAAGAAGAATTTCTGTATGAGCACCTTCTTTTTGACGCCAACTTGGTAATGCTCTTATATTCATTTTAAGTTGTGAGCCTAAATAAATACGACAAATAAATTTCTTTTACTTTGTTTTTCTTTTAAATAAAACTACCAAGTATATGCGACATATGTTGTCGAAGAACAAGAGCCATTTCAGTTACAATTTGATGCATTGGTACTCGATTTTGAAATGGTTCAATATTAGGTACAAGTGTTTGTACATGAATCTAAATAATTTTATTATTTAGATTCGAAAATAAATAATGAAATATGATTTTTATTTTATTTACTTTTCCACTTTCACCACGTTCGGCACAAACACGTTCAGCAATCATTTCACATATTTGTTTATAAGTATATTTTGATAAAATAGCTTTTTCTAATGCACATTCTTCATATGGATGTGCTTTTGATATTGATGAATGAAGAATAAAATCATTAAATGTAAATTGATTAACAAGAGTATAAGCATCATCATCTGTTATTTGTGTATAACGTGATTTAATATCATGAAATGAACGTGTTCGTCTAGCTGGTAAAGCTGGTGGTCCTTTAAATTTTGGTGTTCGATTAAGTGTTCGTGGTTTTGATGTTGTTACTGCATGATGTAAGGCACTAAATTGTGAATATTCACGTGGTTTAAGTGGTGTTAATAATTTTTTAGATCTTTTTAGTCGTGAAATTCTTTTTTTTTCAACATCATCATCATCATCATCATCGTCATCATTGTCGTCGCCTTTTTGTTCATCATCATTCATCGCAACAGTTAAATGATCAACTAGTGTTGGTTGTTCACTTTGAAATGGTGTAACAAGACTAACATGATGACTATCTTCTTCAGCTAATGGTGGTAAAAAACGTGGTGATCGAGTATGACTTGATGGCCGTGATGATGAGGCTGAATTACTTGTTGAACTTGATACTGATGAAAGTGGTGATAAAGGTTCACTTTGTCCATCTATTGTTATGTCACTAAGTAATAATGGACGAAGACGAGGACGAAGAGGACGACGCAAAAGATTCATATCTAAAAACCCTGAATATTAAATCTATTTATATATATATATAAATATAATTTTATTTCAATAACAAAGCATTAAATAAGCAAATTTGTTTAAAAAAAAAATGATTTTTTGTTAATAACAAAGCTTATTTCACAATATATATGTATATAAATATAGATATGATATTACTTATTTCGAAATGAACTGACAGTATAATAAAGAAAAAAGAAAGCAAGTACAATTGCACCAATAACATAACACATGACACGACGATCACCTCGTCCACTAGTCATAACATAAGTCAAGTGACGAGAACTACCACCGAGAAAACTACGTGCTGTTTCAAAATCAAAATGCTATAATTAAAAATAAATGAATATCATTGATTAATATGAATTTATTTCAAAAATACCATTGATTCAAGAAAACGATTATGTTCTTTTGTTTCTTTTTCAATATCGAATGCAATCTTTTAAAAAGAAATAAGCAGAATATTTGTTGTTGTTAAAAAAAATTTTAAACTAATAAATAACGAACATGTTTAAGTCGGGAGACTTTGGCAGCTAATTCTTCTGAATGTCGATCGTTTTGACTTTCTAATGTATTCATTGAAAGTGGAATAATTTAATAAAATAATCTGAAATACAAAGATTATCTCTAATCATAAATACCATATCTACTTAATAGCTTCATATTTCTCGTGTATCTGTATCCGTTCAATGTCAGTTTTAGGCGCTCTTTCAAAACGATCTTCGTTTTTTATTTTTATTTTTAAAAAATAACACAACATCAACAACAAACACTTCGAATATATCAAACCTTCATATTTAAAAAAAAGGAAACCACATCATCCTGAAAATTTCATTGGTTATTTTTTGGCAAAACTAACAGATATTGCATTCGTTGCCGAAATCATAAAACCATTGAGAGCATCTATAAAGTTCGCAAAAAAGAGAATATAAATCAATACGATAATGAATATTCATAAAGAATAATTTACCTTTAGCTGAAGCAGCACCTGCTTCATTATCAAAATCAATAAAAGCAATTCCTTCACGTCCAGGTACAAGTCGAACATCATGATAACCAGGAAATTGACGGAATAACATTTCCAATGCTTCACGTGTTGTTTCATTAGGTAAATTCGTAATAAAAAGTGTTGAATTCGATTGTGTTTCTGTCATCATTGGCACAGCCGTACCAACTAATGTTGTTTGTGCAGCAATAACTGATTGAATTCGACGTGTACGGTCACGTAATGGTAATTCTTGTAATTCAGCTTCAGCTGCAGCAATAGCATTAGCTGCACGATTGACTTCTTCCGAATTCATCAATGCTAAAAAAGAAAAAATAATTTATATAAAAATTCTTTTCGTATTATCATATCGATCGTAGACTGTACGCGAGTTAAATCCCTGATGTGTTAAGGATACGGAGTTTCACAGCTTGGATTTTATTTTTACGTGTACCAGTAGGTTCAACCTGTTTACAAATATTGCGTTTTATCTTTTATTTCTTCACTGATTTAATTAATTTTATGATTTCTTTCGTCCCAATCATTTATCTACTTGTATTGAAGCATATACACATAAAAATGCGCTTCAGGTGTAAGACTTCTCTAAGACGCACCGAACTACAAGGCCACACCCAAATTCACTCTAAGAAAATTTGTATGAATCTGCGGATCGACAAAAAAAGCATCATTCAACTAGCAACGAAGTGGATTGTATTCGATCTCGAACAGATCGAATGAAAACAACAACCAATCATCAACATCTTAGACTCTTACCTATATGTTGTTCATGAAGTGCACGATCCGGTGGTGGTTGAGATGGTGGTGGTGGTATACGAGGTTTCTCTTTACGTTGTTTTGGTTCTGGTTGACTAGTTGCAGCTAATGCAGCTGTCTTTTCAGCAATTTGTTCTTTTGAAAAGCGTATTGCATCGGAATCACGCTTAGAATATGCTAAATGCAATGGTTTACCATAAAACATGAGACCTTGTAATGAACGTAATGCAGTTGTAGAGTTTTGAATATCATCAAAAACAATAAATGCTTGTCCACGCATTTTAACACCTTTCATAGCAATAATAGCAATAACACGTCCATATGAAATAAATAAATTATAAAGTGATTTTCTTAATTGTTGTTTTTTAATTTTTCCATTTAGATTATTCACATAAAGTGTATGATTAGGTGGAATAGAACTTCCAACCGTTGTTGTTGTTGTCGTCATAACGTTATCGGTAGTATTTGACATCTAGAATAAAGAAGCAAAACATGACCAGAGTTATACATTTATATATTTATTTTTATTGTATTTTTTTTTTTATCGGTTGTCTATAACAATAATGAAGAATAAACAAAAAAAGAAAAAGAACTATTTTTTAGCAAATGTAATCATCATTGCTTTATCTGGTGTAATTTTAAAACCTTGTAAACCGTCTTTAGCCATTGCTGCATGATGTTCAAGATCGAATTCAACGAATGCAATACCTTCTCGACCAGGAATAAGACGAACTTCACGAAAACCATTATATGCTTTAAATAATGTTGTTAACATGCTTTCATTAGCATCTTGAATATTTGATACAAATAAAATATTATTTGGCATTTCACCACCTAATATAGGTGGATGCAATACTGGACGATTCATCATAGGTGGCGGTGGAATCATCATTGGTGGCATGCCAGGCATCATCGGTGGCATTCCAGCTGGTAAACCAGGAAATTGTGCTGCTAATTGTGCTTTTAATAAACGTTGTTGTTCTTGTTTGGCAGCTAATTGTTGACGACGTTTTTCTTTTTTTGATATTGATGGTAGATCAGAATCGCTACGACGTTTTGGTCGTTCAACAAATGTATTTTTACGTTTAGATATAATGTCACTATCACTTTTAGCAAATTGTATACGTAATGGTTTATCATATAATGGAAATGATTGCATAGATGTTAATGCATTTGCAGCACTATCTGGTTGATCAAATATAATAAATGCTTGACCACGCATACGTAAATTTTTTAATGCAACTATATCAAGAATTTTGCCAAATTTAGAAAATATAGCATAAAGACATTTTTTTAATTCAGGAATTTTCACACCTTAAAAGAAATATTAAAAAAAGATTATAAATCAATAATAAACTTAAGTTATTTACGTTCATTAAGATTGTTTACATAAATTGTATTTTGACCAGTAAATGTTGTGTTCAATGTTGGTTGAGCAGAAGAAGGAGGAGCACCACCAGTTGAAACATCCATTTTACTTTTTTGGTTATACAAAAATGTTTAAGTATAATCGGAAAAGTTTGTTTTTCGATATTTCAGCAAGTACACTCACACAGCTAAAAGTAGAAGAAAGAAAATAAAACTTTCACTGTTTCTGTAACAACGAATCATTCTATTGGTTTAAATTAAAAAAACAATAATATATAAAAATTCTAGATGTCGTATTGTGTCATCAAGAGATTTTTTTGCCAGATCTTGATATGTTTTTGAATGTCCGTCATCATCTATACTGTGCATAAAAATATTTTTTCAAGAAGTAGATAACACTGTGATTTCAAATAACATCAACAGCAAATTTTATACTAAATTAAAGTAGATTGAAAATAGGTTTCAACCATACTAAATAGTAAGCGTTAGCGGCAACTTTTCAGTATGAAATTAAAAAAATTCCTAAAATTTTAGATCATATCAGCAGAGAAAAATTTCTTTCATGAGACAGTTCAACTTCGATCTCATTTAAAATGATGTATATCAAAAAGTAATACTTATGTCTTAAGACTTGATGAACATAATCAATAGTCAGTATGACAAATATTAGCATTTTTACAGCAGGAAGATGAGACGGATATGAACATGCAATAAATTCAAATAGTTCAATATTTGTTTCCGTGTTTATCAAATCATATGAAATATGTTTTCTTAGAGTTTATTCATCAAAACGATTGCGTTTCATGTCTGATAGACATTCTTTTCAACTTCATTTTTGATTATTGTTCCAATATTTTCAGGTTAGCTATTCAGTACTTTTTCATATTTAGTATTTTAAATGAGATTTAAGTTGAACTATTTCATGAAAGAAATTTTTCTCTGCTGATATGATGTAAAATTCATTTAGGAGTTTTCTAAATTTAATACTGAAAAGTTGCGTTAACGCTTACTGTTTAGTATGTGTGAAACCTATTTTTGACATGCTTTAATTTACTGTAAAATTTGTTATTGATGTTATTTGAAATCATAGCGTTAACCTCGAAAAATATGTTTACGCCTCCTGTACATATTAATTATCTTGCACAATCACACATGTAAATATAGGAATACGGTGAAACTATAAAAATATCTACACGCAAAAGAAAAGTACATTATTCTTTTGTTCGATATATCATTACGTAAATGAAAGAATTGAATTTTATTCATTAAATTAGATTCATATGATCTATTTCAGTTTGATTGATTGAATAAATAAATATCTGACATAACCAGATCTATTTTTATCATTCAATAAAAAGAATTAAAAAAAAAAAGTAATAATTTTCATAAATCAGCGTGAAAACAGCCACAAATATTTGTCGAGCAAGAAAATTTTGATATAGCATTTAATAAAGAGCGATTCATTTATTTAAAAAAAGAACCATGTGAATAGAAAATAAAACATTCTTGAATTGATGAGAATATTATTTGGTTTCTTCTATTAGTTCCTATTTTTCTTTATAAGCATTATTTTATATCAAGGTTTCACAATCAATGTAATGATATTACTTTACATTTTGTTTACAACAAAACCTATCAATGTTAATTGGAAAATCTAAAGTAAAAACTTGGTTCTGTTTTTTTTTTATGTTTCTTAAACATCATAATATCATGGAATTGACATAATAATATATTAGCATATTCTTGATATATCTTTAAATACGTGAGATAATAACAAGATGTCACGTATCAATTCATAACTGGTTCTAACAGCTGTTACAAATCTACCAACCTTCCATATACAACACTTCAGTGGGTTCTTTCATCGTTATTTTTAGCTTTCATTTCTCAATAATTGTCTATGTCTTTCTTCTAAAGAAGAAAAAAAGCAGAATATATCACGAATTGAAAGTTGTCTAAGTAGTTGTCCTGTTTCTGCAATAGCAGATTGGATGGGTAGTTCTTTTATTCTGTCGTTCATGGATCTTTTCTTCTCTCTCGTATGTTTTTTTTGACTTGGTGTTAGGGTAAAGCAAGAAACGAGAAGAGGGCAACGGTTTTCTTTTTTTTCTTTGGTTCTTCTATACACATGCATCTCTCTTTCCTGTTATGTTCTATTACTGAGAGAAAGACAGACGAAAGCGTCGCATGCGTACTGCTCCAATGTTTCTGTCAGAAAAAAGATTGCCCTGTGAGTAGTAGTAATAATAGTACTGTATTCATAACCAATTGTCAGAGAATACGAGAAAGAAAAGAAAAAGAAAAATTTTACATTGCCGGAAAAACCGCAAATCATATTTGTAGTTATATGATCTTCAGAATGAATACAACAATCAAACGAAAGACTACTTGAATGATTTTATTTTAATCTTATACACATGTAACAATAATTTTTATTTCTTTTCTTCTTTTTGTCCTAAGGTATGTATAAATGTCAATAATAATCATCACTTATACCGTTCTAGATGTTATTTGTCATCAGTATATATGCATGCATATATATTTGTATATTCTCATAAAAAAAAAAGTACAACCGCGTTATTTTAGTCTGTATATTTGGTAAGTGTCATTATTGACCACAAACTTTTACAGAAGGAATGAAGTCAACGACTGTATAATTAACTTTTAACTATAGCTTCATCGAAACATTATCATAGAAAAAGAACAAAATTTGGTTTATTCTTATTACTCTTCCTATATTTTTATGTATATCGTTATGGCAATTGCATAAATGTATGCTGTAGAAGAATATGCAAATGTCAGTTTCTGCCTGACATATTTGTCCAATGAGAGAGAAAAAATGAGAAGCATTAAAATAAGTAACTAAATCAATTTAGTTACTTTTTTTCCTATTAAATGGATCAATCATAATCGAACATGTGTTCAGTATCAATTTACATTGTCTATTATTTTAGATAAGAGGATAGAATAAAAAATCTACGATAAATCATTGAATTCAACATTTTATTATATCTACTGGTAGATTATTCTTATTATCATTATGTCGGCATTAATACTCAAAGCTGCTAATGAATTTTCAGTATTATTTCTTGGTACAAGTCGTAGTGATGATTCAGTAGGTGATCGTCTTAGTTATCGATATACATGTGCTATACTTATTGCTTTTGCTATAATTGTTTCAAATCGTGAATTTACTTCAAAACGTATTCAATGTTGGGTATGTTTAAATATAATTTTAATCAAATTTCAAATTAAATGATTTATTTTCTTTATAGGTTCCTGCTTTTTTTACTGGAAATTATGAAGATTATACAAATAATGTATGCTAAATCTTATGTTTAAATTTATTGTTTTTATTTTTTAAATTTAATAGGTATGTTGGGTACGTAATACATATTATATTGATGATCATAATGAAATACCTGATAATACTGCTATACGTCATGAATCATCTATACGTTATTATCAATGGATACCATTTATATTACTTTTTCAAGCATTTCTTTTTTTTATCCCGTATGTTTTATGGAGAGTATTAAGTCAACGATCAGGTAAAATATATTCCTTTTATAATAATATGTTATATACATTTTTCTTTTGCATAATTAAGGTATTGATGTACGTGATATAGTTGAAGCTGCAGCAAGTTATAAAAAAGCGAATGATGAAAAGCAACGTAATCGTTTAATGAAATTCATTATTTCAGTTATTGATCAATATGTTGATGATCCACGCCGTCAACCAAATAATCGTGAAACAGTTTGGTGGAAAAAATGTTTTCTCGTCTTTTTTCCATCATCTGGCCGTTATATGGGAGATTATTTACGAAATTTATTTTTATTTATTAAACTTATTTATATTACAAATATCATTGGTCAGATAGCACTTTTATCTTTATTATTGGGTCAACCATTTTGGTCATTAGGTTTTACTGTTCTTCGACTGTTACATGAAGGAAAAGGTTGGGATTTTACAAGTCGATATTTTCCTAAAGTAACATTATGGTAAAAGAAAAAAAAATTCTTTATTGTTTATTTTATATAGACATTAGTTTCTTTTGTCTTTTTGTTTAGTGATTTTCAAATTCGTGAAGCAAATGCTTTA